CTTGACGAATACGTCATTTACAGTAATTTAATTAAAACTTAATCAACATGATCATAAAATGTTCAAAATGGTCTGATTTCAGTGTTTACTTATTTTTAATTATATTATTATATATTTTTAACTATATTTTAAGAATTACTGTAAGTTATAATGATTAAATTTAAATCACTATAATTTACAGTAATTACTGAACATCATAATAACTAATGATCATCATAATATATATAAAATATCTTCCTTCTTGGTTTAGCATTGCACTGATTGTGATTTGAGAAACGTCACTATTAATTTTGAGTGTGGTATTTGGGTATGGTGCTGCTAAAGATGTACTACTTAGTTTTTAAGCTGTTTAATAGCTGATATATCTTCTAAATATTAAAGGGAGATATATTTGCCTACTGAGTTGCAAAAATTAGTCACTAGAATAATAAAATTGATACAATTAGTGATAACATTATAATAATAATAATAAATTAAACATAACTTAAACATTTTGCTGAATTATATCGAATGTGCTACACATTAAGTAATTATATTTTAAATTTTTGCCAATATGCATAATTTTGCATTTTTCTTTATTGAAGTTGATTTGCCATTTTTCACTCCATTCAACCAGCTTACATAAGTCTTGCTGTAACGTTCGACTGTCTTCGACTGTATTAATGACTGAAATAATTTTTGTATTCTGCATATAATTTGCAATGTTTAGTTATCTCACTTGTTAAATCATTTATATATATGACAAATAAAAGGGGTCCAATAACTGATCTTTGTGGTACTCCACTTATTACTTTTTTCCACTCAGAGGTTATTTCACCGAGAACCAGTCTTTGTGTGTGTCTGTTTAGAAAACTTATAAACCAACACAATAATTGTTCTTGGATCCCATAGGATTGTAGTTTTAACAATAGTCTCTTATGTGCAACTGAGTCAAAAGCTTTCCTCAAGTGCCTGAGTTATTATGTCAAATGTTTCAAGTAAATTTGTGAAACAACTTTTGGATGATACAAAACCATGTTGAGAGTCAGAGAGTATACTATTTTTAGTCAGATGATTCATTGTGTGTCTTTTATTATGTTTTCCATCACTTTGCACACTTTTGATGAGAGTGATACCAGCCTATAATTTTTTACTTTTAATTTATCTCTTTTTTCAAACATTTACACATAACCATAAACATAGAACAATGCCACTCGAAAATGAGCGATCAAAAATAATTGATAGTGGTTTTGAAATACTTTTGCAAAATTCTTTTAAAACTCTAGGGTGTATTGTGTCTACTCAAGTTGATTTATAAACATTCAGAGTTGCAAGCTTCTTACTAACTGTTTCAATATCGAATGTAGGATTTGGGCATAAAATATCGCACTGTTTTGTGAAAAACAGTGCGATATTTTATGCCCTCTGAAAAAAACTCTGGGAGGTTTTTATCTTCAATAGTAAAAGCTGAGCTGAAAAAATTGTTTAGTTCATTAGCAATCTCAGAAAGGTTGGTCGTAACTATTCCATTGTTATTCTCAATAGCTTGAGTATAATCTTTAGTTTGAGTTTTATTATTCATATATTGGTAAACTATTTTGGGATTTTTCTTAGCATTTTTCGCTATTGTGTGCTCATATTTAACAATTTCATTGTTAATAGCCTTTTTTGTTGTGTTTTTTATACTTTTATATTTCGCCTCAAGTTCTTGATCTCTAAGTTTTGCATTTTTACACTTTATCCATAAAACTTTTTTTGCCTTAATCATTTCCGATAGACTTTTATTAAACCATTGTGCTCTTTTCTTTTTATTTGATTTAGTTAACAGTATATTTACATTACAAATGATTTTATAATGTTCTAACCATTTTTCGTAACATTCATTAGCGTTTAAATTTTCGAATATTCTTGACCAGTCAGTACTATCAAAGTATTTATTAATTTCATCATAGTTTCCTTTATTATAGATGTATTTTTTTTGTTAAACTCTGCTAATATTTCTTCAGATGAACTGTAGTTGTAATTATATGTTAATACGTGATGACCATGTTTAATCGGTGGATGATGTTCTAGCTTATATATTCGCAAATTTTTTTCAGTTATTACTAAATTTAAGACATTAGTTTCAGTTATATCATCCACTTAAAACGTTAGCTTGTTTATATTTTGAAACAAATAACAATCGTCTAAGCAGTCTATAAACATACTAGCAATTTCATTTGGTTCTTGCAGATGGGCAAAAAATACCTCACTCCAATCTATTTTTTCTATATTAAAATCCCCATTTAAAAGAATGCCACTATATGTTTTATTGGATATCATTTCATATGTTACTTTGATTGATGCTGTAATTTTTATACAATTTCGAATGTCACTTATTCCGGGACGATAAATGCAGCCACATAATATTGATTCATTTCCAACTTCTATGTTACACCATATTTGTTCTATTTGTTGGTTTTGCAGCACACTATTTGAAACTTCAAAAGATTTTATTGAGTCTTCGACATATATGCAAACACCACCACCTTTGCCATAAGTTCTTTCTCGTTCAAACAGTGAATATCCTTGAATAGTCTTAGGAGAACAATCATTCCACCATGTTTCAAAAATAAACATAACATCTGGATTATTTATTTCTACTTCGGCTATTAGTTCGTTGTATTTATTGTTTAAAGAAGTTGCATTTGGGTACCAACATTTTATACTATTTCTTGGTTTTTTTAGGTTGATATTCAGCATTTTTTTACTGTTTATACTAAAAACTGAATTTACTAGAGTTAAATTATTGTTTGGTAAAAAATTTCTAATCAAATGAACTTCTTTGCTATTAATATTTAAATCAGCAAGCATTGTTTTAATGTTTAAAGAATCATATGGTTGGTAAACAGAAATATTATCCTTGGAGTTCATATGTTGATTTAAATTATTCTTATCCTTTTGGTTTATTTTTTGGCTAATTTGTTCAGATTTTTTTGACTTCATTATTCCTGATTCCGAATCCAAAGGGATTATTTAACTGGCCTTTCAAATTTAGCACTTCATTTAGTTTATTTCTTTTTAAGAACAAGCTCTTTGTAAATTTTCTTTCTAGTTCATTCTGATCTGGCTGAATAGATACTTTTTAAAAACTTTCAGAATCTTTTAGTTGCTTGGCAACTTTTAATATTGCAAATTTATCTGAACTGTTAGGTAATTCGACCAACAAAGGTGTACTTGTTTCGATTTTTGTGTTATTTTCATTTGTGTTTTTGAAGCGATGAATTCTTCTTATTTTGTCAGCGTTAATTTTTATTTCAGAAAAATGATTTTTAAGAATATTTTCATCAAATGTTTTCCTATTTCCAGCATCCAAATTGGTTGAATTTGGTATTCCAAAAACAATGATATTTTTATCTCTTTTACTTACGTTTTTATTTAAATCTATAATACCTTGTGTTTTATTTCTTCTGTAGATTTATCGCACTTCTTATTATTAAATAATTTACTCCAATCTAAAATGCTATTTGTTTGTTTTTCTTCTAATATTTTAACTCGTGCTGTTAATAAAAAAATTTCACTCATCAGTTTATCAATTTTCAACAAATTTTCAATGTCTTTACGCTCTAATTCTGACACTCTGGTAATTAAGTCTGTTTTCTAGAAACATAATCAACTTTTGGTGCCGTATCTTATTACACAGGGACTAAAAAGTTTCAGTATGTGTTTATTTCCGTAGTCGTTATCTGAATGGATTTTTATGGGATTTGCTTGTAGGAAATTTTAAGGTCCATTCTATTAAATATATATTTATATCTTGTTTAGTTCCTCTAGGACAAGGATAAAAGTTCCGAGGAATATGTATGTTTATAGTGTCAAAGAAGTCAATTATTTAACAAGGTTTTTTTAATAGTTTTGTAACAAAGCAATAAGCTCTCAGTTGCATTAACTAATTGGAATAATTTTATTGTTTAAGAGGCCAATACTGTTATTAATAAAATCTGCATTCGGATTGTGTCGTATTAAAGGTGACTCATTTGAGGTGAATTGAGATGTATCAATTCTAGAAGTTGTATAGTTTATCTTTTTTAGAAGATAGGGCGAAGCAAAATTAGATTAGTTCTGAGTGTTTATTGAGAATTTTCATACTGATGGTAACAGGTGAAGCAAGTTATCTTACCACAAAGAATCTACTTAATAAAAGTGGTTACCTTTAACTGTGATATACTATTATAATGAACCACTATATAGGCCAATCAATTTTAATGGTGAATTATCTGCCAGAGAAATCAATTTTTTGGGTTCATGTTTCGGATTTATAGAATCAAATAAACTTTGAAGATGCACTGACAGTTCTAGTTAGAGTTAAGCTTGCTCTATAAATATGAAATATGAAACTTGATGATCAAGGGTGTTGTACAGAGAAATAAGCTGAGCATTGTACTACCAAGGACAAGGTGGGGATCGAACTTGGAACTTCTTGCTTATGAAGTAAGAGCTCTACCACAACACCACATATTCTATAAGTTGGTCAACAGGGTCTTATTCAAGTTGTATTGTAGATCTTAACTTGTGTCACATTATTAAAGATGTAGTTTGTTTTTTTTCATTTAATTTCCAGAACTGTTTGTGCATCTTCAAAGTTTATTTGATTATCAATAAGTGGGAAAGATTTAGCACCACATAGAACAAGTAAGACATCTAGTTTATCTGATGCTACATCAGCTTTTATGATAGACATTTGTTATACTTTTCTATATAAATATCCTTTTTTAGACCAATCATTTTAAAGTCTTTTTTGGAATATTTTATGATCCATTGATTTAATAAGATATAACAATATTGTTGTGAACCAGATCAAGAAAATATAAGATCTATGTTATTAGCAAGTTTATTATTATATATCTAAAAAATATAAAGATGCAATCATATATAGCATGTATAATATAATTTTAAGATAACACAATCATCATAATGATCATTATAATTGTATAGTTTTTTACCAAAATGATTAAAATTACATCTAAAAGTTTTTTGTGTAGGTTTCATATATAGTACAAAAAATGCAACATTTAAAGATTGGGAACTTCAAAAAAGTGGAAATTTTTCATCACAGGTATAGTATATCTATTATCACAGTGTAAAATGTACAATGACATGGTAATTTGGAAATATATAGCTTATATAGATTTTTGAAAGTGCTTCAAAAATGCATATATATATATATATATATATATATATATATATATATATATATATATATATATATATATATATATATATATATATATATATATATATATATATATATATATATATATATATAAGCGCATTTTTATATAATATATATATATATATATATATATATATATATATATATGTGTGTGTGTGTTTTATAAGATTAAACAAAAAAATCCTACCTTTTCTATACTTTATATTATATCTTAGCTGTTTGGACTAGTAAAATATGAGCCTTTACTAAACTGACCATTTTTTTACTTATCTATTCCACACCAATCATTTCTTTATTTGTTTCTTATTTATGATTAATTTTTTTTGTCAACGGTAGAGAAAACAATCCTTAAAAAAAAACTGCTTTAAGAGCAAAAAACTAACCTACGCAACTTTTCTGCCTACATTCCACTTTGTTTTGCTATGAGATTTATAAAATAGTTTGTTCGACTTTTATATGATTAATTTTGATAGCTCAGTGGTTTAAAGCGCTGTCATTGGTGTTGTTTTGCATGAGTTCAAATTTGTCCCTTAACACTATACATTTTAACTTTTTTCAATGGCCATATACCAAAATAAAAAAAAAGTACTAATGGTAGTATTTGAACCATGATGATGCAATTTATGAACTCTGCAAGCTAACCACTTCAACCACATAGATGTGTTGTTGGGCAAACATTTATAAACTATTTAGTAAATAAAAAGCTTTATAAAATGGAAAATAAGCTTTTTTAAAAATTCTCTCCCTTTTATTAGTTGTAGTGAATAATATCTTTATATATGTTATGTATATAATATCTGTAAAACTTTAATTTATATTTTAAAAGAATTGAAAAAGATTTTTAAAAAAATGGTGCCATTGATAGGATTTGTGCTTTGCATTGAAAACTCTGTGAGCTAATCACTTCGGCCACTAAGGTGTATTAAGAAAAGGTTTACTTTTGCTTAAAATGTGCTGCAATGCCAGTTTTAAGTAAAAGTAAAATTGTAAAACTTGATATATGTTATATATTTTAACATTTTAAAGTTTGAATTTTACATAAGCTAGATATTTGCATACACTTTCTTTCACATTTTCTTATAAAAAAGTGCTGTGACTCTTTCTCGCCATTACCATGATTCCAATAGCTGCAAAGGGTTCTGTGTAAAACACGCTTGAAGGGGCACTGCTGCTGCTGCTGCTGCTACTACTACTACTACTACTACTACTACTACTACTACTACTACTACTACTACTACTACTACTACTACTACTACTACTATTACTACAGGGCTCGAAATAAGTGATCACAAATTGTAATATCTGGAAATATTTCTTGCCATTAAATTCTTTTATTAAAAGCCGTGAGCACGTGTTTTAACGAAAAGGATATATTGCAAAAATTAATTAAAAAACAAAACAATAAACTTACTTCTGCAATAATAATAACAGCCAAAACTTACATATATATTTAATTATTGTCTGTTTAAACACCAGGTAATTTAAGGAATCAATTTAATAAAAAAGTTGTAGAAAAAATTATAATTACTAAAGGTCTGAAAAATGTGCGCGATAATTTAAAAATCAATAAAAAAAAATTTATGCTTAAGCTATGTGCACATTTTATGAAACATTAAAATCAATTTTTCTTTAGAAGAATCTATAGTTTTGTAATGCTGGCAGTAAACATGGTATGCTGGTCTTCTCAATAAGTTCTCTTCTTTTGGTGTATCAGGTAACATCTTTAGGATTATTGAATCCTGATTCAATAATCCTAAAGATTCTAAATCCTAAATCCTAATCAGAAGAGAACTTATTGAGAAGACCAGCATACCATGTTTACTGCCAGCATTACTGTTAGTAAATCAGCTGTAAAATCAGAAGATCAAAATCCATATTCAAGATCAAAAAGTAATTTATGAGATTCAAGATGAAAAATAGGTGTTTGTTAATTAAAGGTAAAAAAACTTTGCTTATGACGAGTCAGATAGCTCTCCAGATTTCTTTAAAATAGGTATAAAAGATGCGGCGGGAAAACAAGACTCTGATAAACAATTTTCAGGCAGGCTGGAAAACAAGACTCTGATAAACAATTTTCAGGCAGGCTGGAAAACAAGACTCTGATAAACAATTTTCAGGCAGGCTGGAAAACAAGACTCTGATAAACAATTTTCAGGCAGGCTGGAAAACAAGACTCTGATAAACAATTTTCTGGCAGGCTGGAAAACAAGACTCTGATAAGCACTTGTTAAATTGTTTTGTATAGGTGAGAGCTCTGGAGAACACTTTTGCAAGACTTTAACAGATATGTTTTATAGACCACAAGCTGGAGTCTAAGCAGGAAATCAATTTAGATACAGAAGCTGGAAATATTCGTATGTCAATAATGGATCAACACATTTGTCAGGTTTATCAGGTAGAATACTACTAGTGAAACCAAGAAATGGTATGATGCAAAGTTCTTAGCAAACAGTTTTGACTTTAGTTGAGGTTAAAAAGTCTGAACTATACAAGTGAGGTGATAAAAAAAGATTTGCCTTTATTATAGATACTGTTAAAGATTCTCCAGAAGTCACAAGAGCCTAATTTTTGAGATGAAATACAAGATTTTGTTACCTGAGAATAGGCTATGGCGTTGAACAAAACCTTTTTACAGTGGTTTATAGCAATAGTAAACAGGGGTTTGTTTTCTGGAGTATTGTTTTGCTGATAGATATCTAGGGAGGGGGGGTTATTTTTATGAATAATTGTTTATAAAAAAAGACCTTTTTTTAATTTGAATTACTAATCGGAGCACAAAATGATTAAAAGTTACTAATAAATAAAATTATCAATTAAAAATAACTAATTATTTGCAACTTCTTTAAGAAAAACTCATGTTTATACAATTTAAAAATATTATATATAGCACTTTTTGATAATTTAGATAAAATTTGTTTATTTATAAAACAATCATTAGAAATATTTTGTTACTTAATGTAAAAGCATTTTGTGCAACTGAAATAAAATGTTTTAAAAGATGTTTCAAATGCAATTAAAGTTGGAACATAATTGAATTTTTCACTTTTTTGAATTTTGTTTTAGTGCTTATATTTCTATTTCTAAAGGAATTGTTTTGTTTCTAAGTTTTTAAAAAATTGTTTTGTTTTTTTTAAGTTTAGCTTTATGTTTCTTTTTTTCTGCATTTTTCTGAAATGTTTGAATCATTAAAACATCTTAACAGGCATTGTAAAGTTTTCAAAAAAAAAAAAGGTTTGCATTGTAAGCAATAGTGTTCGATCGTCCAACACTGCATTGTTTTAATGCTGTTTTATATAGTTTAACATCGAAAACATAAAACATCTTTAAATTAAAACAAAATAAATAAATGGAATTATTCAAATTAATAATTTAGAATTGATGAAAAAATTATTGCTATAAAACTAACACAGTGACAAACAAAACAAACAATAAAGCTAACACAGTAAAAAAAATTATTTTAACAGGTTTGGCGCTGTGTTCTCCTCCATTTCTGGCAACACTATTAAAAATTTAATTTTTTTATTCAATGAGTTTTCAAGTTGATGTTTTCTTATTCAATTTTTTTTGTTCAAATTGTTTTGCAATAAAATAAAGTGACAGGAAAAATTTGGTTTGATAAAATAAAATTATATTTCCATAATCTAATTATATGCCTAAAATTTTGTTAAATATATATATATATATATATATATATATATATATATATATATATATATATATATATATATATATGTATGTATATATAGGCCTAGGCAGTAAGCAAGAGCTTTAACTCTTACTCTCGCCCACATTCCTTTAAAACAGTTTACGGGAGCAATTTATGGTTCTTGCAAAAGTATAATTTTTTCTCTCAAAAGTATAATTATCATTGTAACTAAAATAATAAAGGCAGGGCGCGATAACTTGTTTTTTTTTTATAAATATTAACATTTGTTTCTTTATTTACTGATGAATGTCTAATTTAAGAGTTATGTCAAATAACAGCGCCAACAACACAGGGGGGGGGGAGAAGAGGTAGGGCACGTGCCCATCGCCTTCCCTACTTTTTTTTTTTTTTAAATGACAAATTTTAGATATAGAGGGATTTTTTTAGAAATAGATGGTTGTGCAACTTTACTAAATAAAACTGGCTCATGGCTGACGAAAGTCAGCCATGAGCCAGTTTTATTATCAATTCTTTCAGTTTTTATTTTTTTTCATTTAAATAATTTTTATTAAATTATAAGAGAATTTTATTTTTAAATAACTTTTATTCTGGTTAATAAGATATATAATAATTAGATATATCAAAGATGCTTATTGAATTACATCATTTTTTTATTAATTCAAAACATTTTTTAATCATTTGCAAAGTGTGCGCAAATTAATGCTAATTAATATTAAGGTGACCATATTTTAAAAATACCAGATGCGTACAAGGATTAAATTTGGTATGTATAAATACGAATGGTATTTAAATCAGGTCTGTAGCCTGATTTAAATACCATTTCTTAAAAGGGGGCGCACTTTTTTAAGAGGCGCCAAAAATAAAATAAAAATGAAGGTGCCCAAGGGCAATTTTTGTTAGCGTCTATATTCACCTTTTTTTTTTATATGATTTTGTATAAATTTAATAAAATGATTAACTACTTTTTTTTTAAATTTTCTAGAAAGTTTCGCCTTGTTCTTTTTTTGTGTTGTACTAACAATTTTTGAATATATATTTAGTTTCAATTTTTTATTGGCTAAACAGGACAAAGCGCAGGGAAGCACATGCCCTCCTTGCTCCCCCCTTACCTACAGGCCTGGTTTAAATGGGTTTTACTAAAAATTCGTTTATTTATTTTGTAATAGCATGTGAAGAAACTAAATTATGAAAAAAATATTAAACAACAGTTGCATTTTTAAATCACAAATATTTTTCATAAAAATGATTTTTTTATAGCAACATGTCATCTTTTTTAATTTTTTCTGCAAATTCTTAGCAGCTATATTTTCTTAAATTAAATTTAACAAACAACGTAGCTGCCAAAGTTTTAATTGGAAGTTGGAATTTTCCTTCTGCCCAAATATCATTGGCAATCGAAAACAATTGCTCTACGGAAATGTTTGTACCTGGCAAACATAAAGCGGTTTCCATATATTTTTGAAATGAGAAAAAACTTCAGCCCATTGCTTGTCACATTTAACAGACTGTGAGTTCCAAGAAAAAAAACATTTCCTTTGTGCAATATAAATTAGTTCTCTGAATTTTGTCGAACAATTCATTGTCATCGAATGTGATTTCTTTTGATATTTACGAAAAAGTTATAGTTTCAATAATTTCAATCCATTTATTAACAAACGTTCGCACATTCGAAGACAAATCGGCGAATGTACGAACGTTTGTTTAAAAAAGGCAAAAAAATGAACATCAAGTTTCCTTACTTTTACTTAAGCAAATGTTGGAGTTTGCTTAGAATTTTTAAAAATGAACGCATACTTCAGCAATTTTTTTCCAAATAATTATGTTATTGATAGTTTTTTATTTGTTATAAAAAACATATTTGTTATAAAAAAAACCAATAAGTTACTAAAATTTAAAAAACTTTTTCAACGACTTCTAATCTATGCTAATACTTTCTAACTATATCTAGAATTTCTCCACAAAAAAAAAAACGAAAAAAAATGTGCCTCCCTCCTCCGTTTTGTTGGCCCTGTTATTTGACATACTTCTTAAACTAGACATTCGTCAAAAAATAAAGAAACGAACATCAATGTTTATTAAAAAAAAAGATTTGTCGTGCCCTGTATATACTCTAGACAGACACTGTAAAAAAAGTCTACTTCTTTCAGAAAATTGTTTTCAAATGATGACTACTTTCTTCAGTAACTTGCAAATGTTGCCTTACCATGAAAGGTAGAAATTTTTCTTTTTTTCTAGATTTTATCTGGTCTTTCAAATCCTCTAATACAACGGCAACTTCAGCAGCAGAAATATCATCTTTCTCATTTTTTTTACCGTGTTATAAAAAACATTGGCTTGACTGTTCACCCATTTTGTTATTGCAAAAGTAAAATAAAAGTTTCAGACAATTTTCTAATCTTAAAAAGTATGATCTTAGTGACTTATATAACTTAGGCGCTCTTTTGATAGCTAGAATTAGGGCCAACCAACAAACTTTTGAGAATCTAAGCAATTTTTGATATTCAACACTGGCCTCATCGCAGAAATTTTCTTACTAAAAACACAAACAGTAAAACGATAAAAATAAATCGAAGCTTTTATTATCTCCGCATAAACAACCAGATGCAGTGTTTATTGCGTTTGATAAAATATGAGCATTGCAACTGATAATAATGATTTCACAGTTTAGCTTAACGATTAACTTTTTGTGAATATTGTTATTACCGTTTCGTTTTAAACGTCCAAAATTAGTCTTGGTGCTGTCTGGAGAAATAGCCAAAACTTTGAAGAAATATTGATAGCACTAATGCATTTAAAGAAAACTTCTGATAAAATATCTAATGTTTCTCCATTTACACAATCAATGTTAATCAGCTGAATTTGCACTCCCTCTTTAACATCAAAATAACAAGCCAAAATTGGATACATTTTAACATCCTTGTGGTTTGATGTATTAGAAAGAATTGACACATATGATGCTTTTAAAAAAGCATTTTTTGAGTTAGTTTCACTATATTTTTTGAACACATTTACAATTATTGCTTCACATTTTGTACGAACAAAAGCAAATCTTGAATTATATATTTTCTTAATTAGCTTTGATGTTCAACCCGCATTTCTAAAGCTGTGTTTAGTTTGATTGTGTAGAATGCAATTGTTCTTTCTTGAATGGCTAATATTTTTTCATTTTGACCAAAGCTCTCACTCTTAATCAACTTTGTGATTTTGTTTGACAATATAGAGCATCCAATGCCATTTTGTGTTCGATAGATTTGCTATGATCTTCAATTGCAGACCGTCCACATCTACTAATGTCAAATAGACTTTGACAAATAGTACATTTGAGGAGCTCATCTTTGATCTGCGTTAAGAAAGGAAACATTTAAATACCATGCCAAAACATAATTACTTTCACTTAATTATTAAACTTAAAAGTAACGCTTTTAAAGAAAGTATTTGCATGGTTTCATTTAAAGTCGTTGAAAATGCGTTTTAAATTTTAGTAACTTATTGTTTTTTTATAATAAATATGTTTTTTTATAATAAATAAAGAACTATCAAGCACATAATTATTTGGAAAAAAGTTGCTGAAGTTATACGTTCGTTTTTACAAATTTTAAGTAAATGCCAATGTTTGCTTAAGTAAAAGTAAGGAAACGTGACATTCTTTTTTATGTCTTTTTTTTAACAAATGTTTGCATGTTTGTCAGTTTGTCGCCCCTTAAAGGCAGTCATTTTAAATAATTATTTTTAATAATTCTTAAAATGCCTGCATTCTATTACAATAAGAAAATATAAAACTTTTTTTATAAGCAGTAAAAACAACGCTCGTCTGAAGAATTTTTTCATGCTGCAATAAATGACACTTGTGTATATATTCTTGCAATGTTAACGTAACAAACAAATGCTTGACATGGCGCAACAAATCTATGAACGTGCAAGCTTTTGTTAAAATAAAGATAAAAATATGAATGTCGTGTTTCTATATTTTTTGCATATGAAAATGTCGGCATTTGCTTTAAATTTTTAAAAACATGAGCATTAATTTTTTTTCAAATAATTATACGATTGATAGTTTTTTATTTATTATAGAAAACACACATATATAAAAAAATAACAATTATTTACTAAAATTTAAAAATTATTTTAAAGATCTTAAAAGAAACCATGCTAAAACATGATTATTTCTTTCAATAGTATGCTATCAAAAAAAGTAAATATGTTTTAGCATGGTTTTTGCATGCGTTTACATAAGTACCCTAAATTTTACTTAAATGAATGTACTTGCAGTTACTTTAAAAGAAACCATGCTTAAACATTACGATTTTTTTTATATATAGCATGCTTTTTTCTTTATTTTCTTATTTTCTTAAAGGGAAATAACGTTTATTTCCATATTATAAACACTTTTAAAATGTTTGAAAATTATTTTAAAGTTTAGCTGAAGTATATATAATCTAATAGAATATATAGAATTAATATGTTTATTATAGTTTTTGTGTGTTTAATAACACTAATAACATGATTTTTTTATTAACTTATTATTAAATACTTAATATGATATTATTTTTAAAACTTTTAAAAAAGAAATGTCAAAACAACTTTTTTTTTTTTTTCAGCTTCTTTTTTTTTTTTTTTTCAAGTTTATACATTTTTTTATTTGCAAATAAATTTAGCAAACTAAATTAAGAAAAATTCATTATTTAGTATCAATGGATAACAATTTACAATTGCTAGGTCATTGCATATTATCAATTATTTGCATGCACTAAGCAAATTGGTCGTTCCGTGCCAAATGGTCTAAAATTTTAGGATTCCAACATGGACCCCCTCAGATTTTGATGAAACTTAGTGGGTTGGTTTATATCAATGAGAAAAGCAATTCCTGAAAATTTCAGCTTCAAATCTTATGTGGTTCATGAGATATGGCCATTTGAAATTTCTGATTTTTCCAAAAATAAAAACTTCAGTAGCAAAAACATGTTTTGTTCATACTTTGAAGCTCTGTATTTTAAAAACTAAATTTCAGAAAACCTTCTAGCTTTTTTTATTATATACAATGCTAGGCTCACTTTGTTAAAACTTTGACATTAAATTTTTAAATGTCACGTTTTATCCATAATGGCTGCCTAAAAAACCGAAGAAATTGTTTGCAGATATAGAAAGTTGATTTTTGATGGGTCAATATACAAAACTAGCAATTTAAGAAGTAAAAATACATATCTTTTTAGTTTCTATATATGGTAGGCTTCCTAATTTTTAGAAATTTGCTGATATGATACAATTCAGTAAGAAATTATGGACCCCTAAAAATGGCTCCGGCTAGAACTTACAAAATTGTGCCTTCCCTTAAATCCACTGGTAACCTATGATCAACACTGATTTTCATGATATACTTTTTTTCTACTCATTTAATAGACTTTATTAAAGTGATTTCAGAAAAAATATAGTGGGTACTCATGGGGAAGTTACAAAGTCAGAACAATGAAGTCGGCACAAAATGCATTAAAAACGCAAAAAATAGAGATATTGATGTACTTTAGTATTCATCATTTACTGCAATGCAAAAAAATGTATATATATATGAAAGTATATCAAAATCATTGCTACAAATTAGCTTTAAATTAGGACTGAATTAAACTCAGGTTTTAAATAACCTTAGTTGCCCCCCCCCCCCTCTTTTTATTTTTTAACATATATATATCTGGAAGAAAATACATATATATTTTCTCCCAGAACTTACATATCTTAAAAAAAATATGTTATTGTATGTTTTACTTTACAAAATGTGTCTGATTTTTTTTTCTAATGCATGAAGTGTTAATGCACAAAATAACAATTGAACATACACAGTTAAAAGCTGTGATATGGCAAACAAGTTATTGGGTGTACTTTTTATCTTTATTTTGTATATAAAATTTATCATTCTATATTTATTTATTGTGTCAAAACTTATGGAAACTTTAGTTTACACTTCAAAAATTGAAAATAAATATATTTTTTTTAGATAATAATTAAAAATAAATGGCAAGTTCATCTTTAGATCTAACTCAATGTTGCATTGGAAAAAAATTAAATGAAAATTGTCATGAAGGAAAATTTACCAAAATCAAGAAAATTAAATTTTTTGAGGAATTAACAAAAAAAGATCAAGAGCTTGTGCACTTAAGATGTAAACTAAATCCTATTAAAACTATCTGTAATGAAAAGATCTTCTTGGATAGATTTGAATCATTGTATGTTGGAAGCTTTTGTTGCGATCCTTTTAACAAACACAAAATTAAAATTAAAAGTATTTAAAAAATAGATTAACTTAATGATTATATTAAAGATAAAGTCTTCTTTATTTATTTATTTAGTGTTTTATCATATATTTTTTAGAATCTGTCAGAGTAATCAGTGCTGCTGTTGCAAAGGAATTTGATTTAATACCTGGTTCTAAGCTTTGTACTGAATGTCGTAAAATATTGCACTTAAGAAAACAAGAACATGAAAGCGATTCATGTAAAAATCAAGATAACAATTTTAACGGGATTCATATTTCAAAAGAAAACTTTAATTTAAGCATTAACACCTTTGGCTGTTCACCTCTAAAACTAGTAGCTTATAAAAACAGAGTCAGCTATGCAAAAAGAAAGATTAACAAGATCCATACTGCAACCAAAAAGAAAATAGCAACTGTTTTAGATGTTTCTCCGGATTTAATAAATGATGAACCAAAAATAAAAGAACTTTGTTGCAAAAGTAAGCAAGATTTGGACTAATTAATGGAATTAATTAAAGCAAGGTTTGATATTTCTTCAAAACCAGAAAAACTTAAATTGCTAACTTTGGTTCCTGAGAGTTGGAACATTAACTATACAGGAAACTATTTTTCTGTCTCCCAAAGAATGATAAAAACTGCAAGGCATTTAAAACAAATGCATGGCATAATGGCGGAGCCGTCTAAAAAAGAAGGAAGATCTATTAGTGAGAAAATAAAAAATCTAGTCCATGAATTTTACCAATCAGATGAATATTCTAGAATGTGTCCAGGAAAAAAACAGTATGTCTCAATCCAAGTTGATGGTAAAAGACAACATTTTCAAAAAAGACTGCTATTACTTAATATAAAAGAACTTTATTTAGAGTTTGTTAAAATTTCCTTAGATGTCAAGATTGGATTTTCTAAGTTTTGTGAACTTAGACCAAAGTGGTGTATTCCTGTTGGAGGTGCTTCAGGTCTCCACTCAGTATGCGTTTGTGAGTACCACCAGAATGCCAAACTTTTAGCATTAAAAATACCAGATATTTCAGACTATAAAAATCTCTTGACATTAGTTGTATGTGACTTAACAAATCGAGACTGCATGCTGCATTGTTGTGATAACTGCCCAGATAATGACACACTTAAAGAGTATCTTACTACTTTGTTTGATAAACATAGCATTGAAGAAATTAACTTTAATCAGTGGCAAAAAGCTAACAAAAAACATGATATAGTTCCGGTAACTCTTCCAGTGGACGATTTTATTGGAAAAGCTTGTCAACAAATAGACCAATTAAGAAACCATCACTATATAGCCAAAAATCAAGCAGCATATTTGCAGCATCTAAAAATCACATTAGTAAGTAATCATATTTTAATATTATTCGACTTTGCTGAGAATTACAGTTTTTTAATTCTAGATGCAGTACAAGGTTTCCATTGGAACAATAGCCAAGCAACATTGCATCCTTTTGTTATTTACTTTATGGAAGAAAACAAGATAAAATGTAAAAGTATTTGCATTATCTCAGATAATTTGCAACACAATGCAAACTCAGTACATTGTTTCATTCATGAAGTATTAAAACATTTAAAAAACTTGATACCCTACTTTAACCACTGCATTTATTTCAGTGATGGTGGAAGTTCACAATACAATAATTATAAAAACCTATCTAACTTATGTCACCATAAACAAGATCATGACGTATCTGCAGAATGGCATTTTTTTGCTACATCACATGGAAAGAGTGCGTGTGATGGTGTTGGGGGAACTGTCAAAAGACATGTAGCAAGGGCAAGTTTACAATCACTAGTTGATCCTATCAATTCATCTAAAAAAATGTATGATTGGTGTAGACAAAATATTGATGGAATACATTTTCAACACATTTCAAATGATGCAGTTACATTACATTGCATGAAATTTAAATTAGAAGAACGTTATGCTACTTGTTCAACAATTCCAGGAACAAGAAACCACCATTGTTTTATACCACAATCATTAACTACTTTACAAATGAGACGGGTTTCATTCGACAATGTGTTTACTAATGTAAATATTTCAACAATGCAACAGAACTATACAATTCCACTTGCATTTCTTTCACCAGGAATTTATATAGCATGTGTTTATGATGGAAAATGGTTTTTAGGTAATATTGTGGAAATATCTGAAGAAAATCAAGATATCCTTATAAAGTTCATGAAGCAGTTTATTTCCTCTAACACTTTTACTTGGCCACATAGAGAAGATATTTGCTGGGTTCCAATAATGCACATTCTATGCAAAATTTCATCTTTAAAAGTGCAATCAGCAACTGGTAGATGCTATGAACTATCAGCTCAAGAAAAAACTGAAATAATACATTTGTACAATAGAATGTTTAATAACGAAATTATATAATAACAAAGCAAAATTTTTATAAGCTTGATCAATCGAAAAAATGTATTAAAGCATACTTGAATGATTCTATCTTTATGTTGATTTTTTATTAAATAATGTTTTTTAATGCATAATACGTATTATATAATTACATAATAAACTTGTGTATTGCAATGACAAATCAAATTACTCTTATCACTTGATATAATCTGTAATCTAAATTTAAACATGACAATAATAAAATGGGGAAAATGATACTAAATTTAAGTCAGAATATAAAACTGTAAGATAATAACTGATATAGAAACAAAAATGTGTTGTGTCTAATAAGCATTTACAAATAAATAACACAGCTATTATTTGAGTATGTTCAATACTTGGTGCATAAAGATACTTCATGCATCAGATATAATAACAGAAACACTGCATTAGCTAAAATGTTTAATAAACAGTAGTTTAAAATGTTGTCGAGAAATAAGTTCTTCTTAAGATAAGAATGTTCTGGGCAAAAATACGCATTTAAAAAAATAAAAAGACGGGGGGGGGGGGCAACTAAGGTTATTTAAAACCTGAGTTTAATTCAGTCCTAATTTAAAGCTAATTTGTAGCAATGATTTTGATATACTTTCATATATATATACATTTTTTTGCATTGCAGTAAATGATGAATACTAAAGTACATCAATATCTCTATTTTTTGCGTTTTTAATGCATTTTGTGCCGACTTCATTGTTCTGACTTTGTAACTTCCCCATGAGTACCCACTATTTTTTTTCTGAAATCACTTTAATAAAGTCTATTAAATGAGTAGAAAAAAAGTATATCATGAAAATCAGTGTTGATCATAGGTTACCAGTGGATTTAAGGGAAGGCACAATTTTGTAAGTTCTAGCCGGAGCCATTTTTAGGGGTCCATAATTTCTTACTGAATTGTATCATATCAGCAAATTTCTAAAAATTAGGAAGCCTACCATATATAGAAACTAAAAAGATATGTATTTTTACTTCTTAAATTGCTAGTTTTGTATATTGACCCATCAAAAATCAACTTTCTATATCTGCAAACAATTTCTTCGGTTTTTTAGGCAGCCATTATGGATAAAATGTGACATTTAAAAATTTAATGTCAAAGTTTTAACAAAGTGAGCCTAGCATTGTATATAATAAAAAAAGCTAGAAGGTTTTCTGAAATTTAGTTTTTAAAATACAGAGCTTCAAAGTATGAACAAAACATGTTTTTGCTACTGAAGTTTTTATTTTTGGAAAAATCAGAAATTTCAAATGGCCATATCTCATGAACCACATAAGATTTGAAGCTGAAATTTTCAGGAATTGCTTTTCTCATTGATATAAACCAACCCACTAAGTTTCATCAAAATCTGAGGGGGTCCATGTCGGACCCTGGTTCACTTGGCATGGAATGACCCAAATGTATAAAAAATTGTTTTGAACAAAAAAATTTTTATTAAATCCAATAAGCATCATTGATATATTTAATAAATTGTTAACTAGAAAAAAAAAGTTATTTGAAAAACTTCCTTGAATGACATAAATCTCTTAAATTAGATGTTTGTCGTTAAATAAAGATATCAATGTCAATGTTCATTAAAAAAAACTATTTTTTGCACCCTGGGCTTGTAACAAGTATAAAATCAAAATTTTGTATTTAATAAGCAATTTTTTTAATTAATGATTTTAATGAATATATAATAATATTTTTAATGAATTTAATGAACAGATAGCTAACGCAAAAACCATAAGCCCTCCTAAGAAGCTGCATATATATATATATATATATATATATATATATATATATATATCAAGCCTTCCCAGGAAAGGTGTGCGGTTTTTAGTTTCGTATGACCACACGCGATTAGATTATTTTAGAAAATGTGAACACAGCCGTTTGCAAGTTTTATAATCAATGCTGAAAAAGTTTCAAAAACAAAAAAAATCAAAACTAACAAAATAAAAAGAGACTGAAATTGCAATGTGTTTGTAAAATTTATTTTTATAATTTTAATGTAGCAACAAGGATTGAATTAAGCGAATGCAAAACGCAAAATTTGGAAAAATATCTAGCATTAAAAATTTTAGTTTATACAAAACCGTGTTCCTTATTTATAAGAGGAGAATCAACTTAAATTTGTTAGCGAAAAAATAAAAAACAAAAATAACTTACGATTACAAAAGTAAGAACATTCTAATCACTAACTGCATTACAAAAGTAATAACACTATAATAGTGTTATTACTTTTATAACGCACTTATAACTTTTAAAATCCATTCTTTGTTCAAGCAACATTAGTATTCCTTAATTTTAATTAAAGTAGAAAAATACCTAGAAGAATAAAGTGGATGTTCAAATAATATTAAAACTAAAGTAACTTATATAATCGTGACAGACAACTTTATGAAAACGTGTCGTATTAAAAGTTAAGCATTATGAAAAACGTTACTAATAGACCGTAAAAACGTGCGTTAATTTCGAAATTAACCAATAAAAATTTTTTATTGGTTGATTTTAAAATTAACGCGCGTTTTCACGTAACGTTTTTCATAATGCTATACTTTTTATAAAGTACTTTTTTATAATGTTGTTTAAGTGATATGTGAAAGTTCCTGAAATTTTTAATAATATTTGAATATCTGCTTTATTTTTTCTAGATGCTTTTCTACTTTAATAAATTTTTGGAATTAATAATGTTGTTTGAACAAAGAATGAACTTTAAAAGTAATAAGTGCTATATAAATGTAATAACACTATTATAGTTTTATTACTTTTATAATGCAGTTAGTGACTAAAGTGCTATTACTTTTGTAGTCGTAAGTTTATTGTTTTTGTTTTGCTTTTTTTAACTTTCTCGCTAGCAAACTTTTAATAATTTGCTCCTTATAAACAAAGTACACAGCTTTGCATAAACTAAAATTTTAAAGACCTAATATTTTACCAGAGTTTGCAAACTCGATCGTATAATTTAACTCTTGATATAAACTTGTTACACTATAATTATACAAATATATTTTACAAACAGATGACGATACATATTTTCTCTTTTCTCTTTAAAAGAAAAAACACATAAAATATGGGAAAGTCATCCTTTTTAACTCCTAAAACCATTTTTTTTTTTTGCTTTGAATTAATGAATTTTGTTGCAGATAATAATAACCACTAAGAAAAAACAAAAATAAAAACAAATTATTTAAACATTATTATTGTTTTCTATTTAAGTTTACTTTAATTTCTTATCAGGAATTATCTTTTTCCGGATATTTCCGGAGTTCCGGATATTTCCGGAGTTCCGGATTTTTTTTTCAATTTTTAGTTTTTCCGGAAATATAAAATATTTTCAATACATGCAAGATGAGGTATATATTTTTGTAATATATTTATTTTTTAAGCTTTTTCACTTATCACTTATAAAAAATTATGAAAATTTACAAAAAAAAATTAGAAACAACTTAACTAAAAGCGAAAATAAAAAGAAAATAAGGGAAAACAAGTTCCGGATTTTTTCCAGATGTTTTATCCAAACCATTTTCCGGATTTTTAAAATATGACTAGGATAATCTATGTTTCTTATGCAGTTATTAAATTTAAAACAATTTTTCAGTAATGCATATAATATAACTTGCGCAAATGGACGTGGTCATGTTCTCTAACTTGAAAAACATTTTCGTGGTCGTACGAGAAAGAAAACCGCACACCTTTCCTGGGAAGGCTTGATATATATATATATATATATATATATATATATATATATATATATATATATATATATATATATATATATATATATATATATATATATATTATATATATATATATATATATATATATATATATATATATATATAAATTAATTTTGTTTAGGCAATTTTATGCATAAGAATTAAATTAAAATTCAATGTTAAGCTTTATTTATTTGCATAATGTGTCAATTACATAACTATACTACTGTGATCAAAAAGTAAGGTGAATTTTTTTATAAAATGAAAAATCTTTATTTATTCTTCCAAATCTGTTTCGTCCCCCTGAAAATAATCCCCCCCGGCCCCAATGCACTTTTGCCAACGTTTTTTCCAGTCTTCGAAGCATGTCAAAAGGTCCTCGGTAGGGATAGCCTTCAATGTGCGTGCCGATTCACGTTGGATCTCTTCAATGGACTCAAAACGATTTCCCCGGAGTGGTCTCTTGAGCTTTGGGAACAGCCAGAAGTCACACGGTGCTAAGTCGGGCGAATACGGTGGTTGTGGAGCAACATGGGTAGAGTTTTTGGCGAAAAACTCACGAAGAACCAGTGCTGTGTGCGAAGGCGCATTATCGTGGTGCAAAATCCAAGAGTTATTGGCCCATAATTCCGGTCTCTTTTTGCGAATAGCTTCACGCAAACGTCGCATAACGCTTAAATAATATTCCTTGTTGACAGTTTGGCCAGTTGGAAGGAATTCGTAGTGCACGACACCACAATAATCAAAGAAAACAGTCAACATGACCTTGATTTTTGAGCGACTTTGACGTGGTTGCTTCGGTCTCGGCTCGCCTTTTTCACAGTATTCACTCGATTGGTCGGTTGTTTCAGGGTTGCATGCGTAGACCCAAGTCTCATCGCCAGTAATAATTTGTTTGTAGACGTCATGATAGTCAGAAAGCATTGCTTCACACGTTTTAACGCGACGCTCTTTTTCAAAGAAATTGAGAAATTTCGGCACCAAACGTGATTTGAGTCTTCTGAGGCCCAAATAATCTTTCAAAATCGCTTGCACTGACCCAAATGATATTCCAACCATGTCAACAAGGTCTCGAATGGTTAACCGACGATTTGCAAGCACCAATTCTTTGATTTTGTTGATGTGGCAATCATCAATCGAAGTCGATGATCGTCCGGAGCGTTCCAAGTCATCAACACGTTCTCGGCCTTCTTTAAAGTCTTTGTACCACTTGTAAACATTTTTTTGAGACACCGAAGGCCTTTTGCAACATTTGATACGTTTCAGCAGCAGAAATATCATTCCGCAAACAAAATTTAATAGCACTTCTTTGCTCAACAAAATTAGACATCGTGAAAATCGCCGAATGCACTTTTGGTACTTCAGAAACAAGCGTAAACAAAAAAAAAATAATTATGAGTTTAACATGTAATTTGGCGCAAATGTTAATGACATTCCTACCAACTTAAAAATAAAAAAGATTGGACGATTCGAATAAGACGGGAAGTTCAAATTAAAAATTCACTTTACTTTTTGATCACAGTAGTATTTAACGAAAATGTTGATTTTTAGCATTTTTTTGCACTTCGATAAGGTCTTTTTCAGGGTCTTTAGTGTTTCATGTCAGAATGTAATGTGTAAAGCAGCTACAGAATCGTCTAAAAAAATGAGTTAGTTTTGTGTCTTCTTTTATGTGACTATATTAGGTTGTCTATCTCAATATATGTTGTTTAACAGCATTTGTTATCTTTTAATAATACCAGGGCATAAAAAATAAAGTTTCATCACAAATACTCAAAAAGAAACAGTTTTTCTTTCTCTTTTGTCCACTCTTTAACTTGTTAGCTACAAGGAAAGTGTCCTGTCTCTTTTTCTTCTTGTGGTTTTGTTGATCGGCTCCTATTTAAAAATAAAATATGTTTGTTGAAATTACATTAATATTTTCTACAATAAGTTTAAATTTGATAATTTTTTAAAATTGTACCTGAACGAGTTTCACAGCTTTCTCACTGCAATCATTAACTATTTCCAGATTTTTGACAAATTGTTTAAACTCCAGATAATAATCATTCAGATTCCATGTCTCAATTGGGGTTTTTAACCACTGTAACTCTGCCTTCCCATGGTTCAAGAGATGAAATATTAACCAACTCTGTTTATTTATCAGTGAAACCAAGCTAGGAGGATTATCCTGATAAATATCCAGATTCTTCAACAATTCAAAATCTACCTGCTGTCTGTGTACAACATAATTCTCAGGCTTTGACATGAAATACAGCTTCTTGGCAATCTTGTCACAGTCATGGACCTCTTCATCAGCTAAACCCATTACAACAGTGGTAGGATCAATTTACCAGGTGTGTCTCTTCATTGAGTCAATAACAGGTTTTACCAGCTCAAGTTTGACATCAGAGTACCTTATTATCTGCCACAGTGCTTTCATATCCTAAGAAATAACTTTTAAATAGCAAAATATTAAAAAGAATAATTTTTATTTAAACTTTACTACATTTTAAATAATAAGAATATAAAAATTAAAGTAAAAAAAAACCTGAGAGGGAGCAATTGCTGGAATTTCTGCTCTGAGAAACCATTCAGTGTAAAACACTGCAGTGAAGGAAGCCATATCTCTGATACTTTATTTATCTTTGATACTTTATTATTTATAAATTCTATTTTAGAAACCATCGTCAATACTTGACAAAAGCATGAATGCTTAGCTTTAAGTTGAATTAAACTTTGACTGGTATCTTTGAGATATTAAGTTAAAGGTTAAAGTTAAGTTTTTCTTTATTTAATGCAAAAATATAAACGTTAAATCAAGTTTTTAGCTACTTCCACATTTTTTAAAGTTGTTACCTACTTCCCTTGTATCTTTACATGGGTTGAAAATATACTTAAATATTTTATAGATTCTATTTTAGAAACCTTTAGGATAAAAATCATAACTATTGAAATTGTGATGGTGATGCATATTCAGAAAAAGTATTTGACAAGTTAAAAAACTAAGAAATCAGAGTAAAAATGCTTTGGACGTATTCAACCTATTTGTCAGTTGATGTATGTAATCAGTAAAAAAAATTAAAAGAAACAAAAACATTATGAATACTTTATTTTTATTAAAAAGTATATATATATTCTGAATGATTTTAAAAACATTCCAATCTGCGATTTTGTGGTTTTTTAAAAATGATAAATTTAGTTTCCTCAGTTAAATTTGACATAAAGTGTGCTTTATTCAAGCCTTCGTTAAACACAAAGAGTTGTTAAGAGCTGTTTTTTACCACAAGCGGTAATTTTTTATATTTAACTATACATATATATATATATATATATATATATATATATATATATATATATATATATATATATATATATATATATATATATATATTGAAATTTACAATCTATTGTAATCATGGTGCGCAATAAAAAATCAGCATTTCCAGTAAAATACTTACTGGAATTATTAATGCCTGAAACATCTCATAATATAACAATTCAAATTAAAGTTACTGAGCTAAGATTTTATGGGATTAAGTTTTTAAAATTTCTTTATATTTAATTAATTTTTCACAGGTTTTTAAAATTTCTTTATATTTAATTAATTTTTCACATTTGAAAAAAAAACTTCACACATTCTGTTATAGTACTATAAAAAATGTGACACTCCATGACAAAGTCATTTCTTTACCAATTTGTTTACTTCAAATGATATGATTTATATCTGTACTATATGCCGTTAATTTAGTTGTAAATTTGTAAAATATTAATATGGAAATTTAGCATTTACTTATGTTTTACTAATTAATTTAAACAGATTGTAAAGCAATATCATATACTGAGCGTTTAGCACAGAAAATACAGCAGAAAAATATGGTGAGCTATGGGGAGTTCATAAAGATTTAGTTTCATTAAGTTGAAATCAGTACAGAAATGATATGATTAAAGCTAAATAAACAGTTTCAAAGGATTTAAAAAGATAACACTTTGAAATATTGAAAAATTGTAACATATAAAATTACATATAAGTAATCTAGCAAGTAATGTTTATATTTGACATATTTTGATTGTTGTTTTGCTTTATTGAACAAAATGAAAAATATTAAATTTTATTTAGTTGTTAATTATAGTTTTTTTTGTTAGGTATTCATTAATTAATTAATCAAGTTGTTTGTTAATATGTTTTTTTTCACTTTTCTTTTCACCTCACAAAAAGGTTTAATGTGAGCCATACATGTCAGTTGCACATTGACCATAATGTACCACTATCCATTATTGGATGGCATCAGTGTGTATTTATATTGCTTATAGCATTAAGACCACACTAAACCAGATTGAATTAAATGTGATTTACTTAATGACTTTAGTCATTAAATAAATCATATATAAACCAACTTTAAAATTGAAATAAAAAAGTAAAACTGAAGAACTGTAAAATAGAAGAAGTATATTATTGGATTCCGTACTGAAATTTAAATTAATTAAAAGTCAACAGCGATATATGTTGAATGAAAATCTCTATGCAAGTGAGCAAATGATCATACCTCTATTTAAAAGTTAAATTTAGTGGGATGCAATTTGTGACTCCTAATATAAATTTCAAACAAAAAAATTCTATACTTTAAAGAATGGTAATAAGAAAATAAAATTAAAAAAAATAGGGGAAAATAAAACAAACAAACCTATTTTGTTTTTTTAAGCAATTTTTTAACTTTTTTTTTAAGTTGTTTTTTTATTTAAAAATAAGTTTTTGTATTTTTGTTTACTAGGTTTTTAAAAATGATGCTAACTGGATATCATTGGATTTTCAAAATACAAGTATTCAATTCTACTACCTGCTGAGTCCACTAATTGATCTTCAGTCTAAATGGATGACTACCTCTACAGTATGTTTTTACAGTGCACTTATATTTTAAAATTGTTTTTAATATCTGGTTCCTATTATTATTTTTATTGCATCGTTTTATTTTCATTTAATATAAAATGTGCTCTATATTAAAAAGTGGCAATCTGTTCTATGTAATAAAATGAAACTATAAATTGATAAAAGTCAAATAAATATTTATATAAAATAATTTAGTAAATAATAGTAGTATTAAACAATAAAAACTAGTAATATTAAAATAGTTAATTAAAATTTTGGAAATGTTGTTAATAAACAAACAAATAATAAACAGTTGATATATCCACTATGTCCCTGTTAGTACCGCGCTCAAATAGTTTCTCTGCACTGCAGACTTGTTCATTGAGGTTCATGTTTCGGAGTTATAGAGTTGAGAGAGACAATTGAGTAGCCTCCTCATCTGTAGTGGCTTTCTCGGTTTTAGGGAGGTGAAAAAATTTAAACAAAACTGGAACTGATAGGAATGTTTAAAAAATAAAAACACCAGAAGAAAGAGAATCATCTCCTCTATTCAAATGTGTCAAAATAAAATCCAAGTCATTTTTCAGTCATTTTATTTTTATAAAAGTTTAAAAGAGAGTCATAAAAGTTTACTTTTTTCTTTTATTTGCTATCATAATTATTTGGGAACCATAATTCGTTTAAAAATAATTTTAACTCTATCTTGTAGAAAATTTAATTTTAATACCGATTACATAATTTTTTTTTTCGTTATTAAAATATAGTTAAAAATTAGACAAAAAAGTAAGAAAAATTAATATTAAATTTTTTCTGTTAAAACCGATCATTCACATATTTACTTTATATTCCTTTATTAAGTAGTATGTGAATTTGTGTGCCTAGGTATTAAGTAGTATGTGAATTTGTGTGCCTAGGTGAATTAAATTATTGAATTTTCTTATGTGTTAGTTCCAGGTTCTTCCTGTATAAAGTTATTTTACAAAAATGACTCAATGATATTTAATAATTATTCACTTTCAAGATGACAACAAATAAAAAGTCTTACAATGTGAATACAAAGTTCCTTTGTGATTGGGTTTATGGTTTAACACGAAATTATGTCATGGACTTTATATACGGTTACCTTCTTTGTACAAATCAATCAGGCCTATTTAAAAACGACAGGCCTGGGAAAGACTGGTTTTATGCATTTATAAACCAATGATCTAAAGAAATTTCCACAAGAAAAACTGACATTTACCATCTGCCAGAGCCACTTCTTATACGCAAGAAATAATTGATAATTATTTTGAAGTTGTCACTAAACAACATCAATTGTGTGAGATTACTTCTGGTTGTCACATTTGGAATTGCGATGAAACGGGTTTCTGTGGTGATCAAGGCAAAGCAACTGTAGTATGTCCAAAAGGTGCAAAGCGTTTTTGAAACTCACTGGTAACAATGAAAAAATCCATTATACAGTGAACAATTGCTGTAATGTTGACGGATACTTTACATTACCATACGTGGTATACAAAGCCAAACAAAACTTTAGAGCTGAGTGGCCTTTAGGTGGTCCGACTGGAACCAAATATTCAATTTCTAAATCTGGTTGGATGGAGCATGACACATTTATTGAATGGTTGAAGGAAGTGTATATACCAGAATGTCAAGCTATTAGTGGTACTCATATTTTACATCTTGATGGACATACGTCAGTTTAGCAGCTGTATTGCTATGTCAGGAAAAGAATATAATTTTGATTTTTATACCAGCCCACTCATCTCACATTTTTCAGCCACTGGACAGAGGTTTCTATTGCCATGTTAAGCAAGTGTGGAAAGCAGTTCTTACCAAATATTTCAAAGACACAAAATGCAAAAACTTAGGTAAAGAAAATTTTCCTACGTTGTTCAAACAGGTGTATGAGAACGGTAAGTGTTTCACACGTTTGCATGCTATTGCTGGTTTTGAATATACTGGGTTATTTCCACTTAACAAAAACAAAATCATTCAACTGGCATTACCTATCTCCGAAATGTTTAATCAACCAACATCTTCAACGCCATTGCAAACAATAAAGACTTTAGCATTATCTTCTGAACCAGCAAAAGCAGCTTCGAGGTTCCGCAATTACAGAGCACTACAACATGAGAGAATGAAAATCGAAATGGAAAATGAGCTAAAAGTTTTTTCAAGAAAAAAATCAGTCTCATTTAAAAAAATCGAGGCAACCTAATATTCCGAAAATTGCTGGCCAATGTATTACAGAACACGGTGTTGCAGATCATCTCAAAAAAAATAGAAGTTAAGCAACTCAAATTAGCTGAAAAAAAAGCTAAAAAGCATAAAACCATCTGCAAACTCATAATGCGATTGCTAAACCCTGCAAAAAAATAATTAACTCAAAAAATAGAACCGATTACAACACCTTCAGCCAAAAGAAGAAAAGTTATTAAATGCAGAAAGTGTAAAAAAGAATTACATTCGAACATGATGTCATACGAGAATCCAAATTGCAATTCTTGGCTCTGCAACAAAACATGTTTGTCAAAAAATTTTGTAATGGGTTCAGATTTTTTTGTAGATTTTCAGATTTGGTTGTAAAAAATGTAAACCTTAAATCTTTTATTTTGTCTGTATACTGTATAAAAAATATATAACATATTTCTGTATTTTGTATATAAAAGATATATAAAAACATATACATTTTAAATGTATATATTTTTATATATCTTTTATATACAAAATATACAAAAGATCGCTTTTGGAAGAAAGTCTGTTAAAACCAATCAATATAAAATACATTTAATAAATTTAACATTTTATATATGTAAATGATTTACATATATAAAATGTTAAATTTATTAAATGTATTTTATATTGATCGGTTTCAACAGACTTTTTGCCAAAAACAATCTTTTTTTTTTCTTCTAGTTTTCATATTTTAATGTGCTTGTTGGTATTTTATATCTTATTTAAAAAAAATAGTTTAAAAAATTTTTAAAATAATAAAATTACTTGATTTTATTGTTCAGTGATCGGTTTGACCCGCTTTTGCTCTATATATTTATATTATATTTTATATATATATATATATATATATATATATATATATATATATATATATATATATATATATATATATATATATATATATATGTATATATATGGCTTAAAACAAAAATAAGACTGATTAATTAGACAATTAAACATGCTTGCATGTACAATATAAAATTAATATTTCAATGTATAATTACAAATATTGCTTTTGAGCAATATTTGTAATTATACTAATATAATAATTTGTTGCACAGCTGAGCAAGTGTTTTATCCACTAATCTGGCAAAACACAGTAGCTGTGGGTAAACATATGTAATATTATTACTATTATTATTATTATTTTTATTATTATTATTATTAATAAATATAAAATAAAAAAATATATATATTTTTTTTTACAACAATTTATTTTAAGTTTAATAGGTTTAAAAAAACGTTTTTTTGATCTGCAAAAGTATTTTAGATAAATTATAATTTTATTTAAAACTGTGTTTTGTTTGCCCTGTTTTTAGTTTCAAATTCAAACGGAAAATGACAAGACTTTTTTGTGCCCTAATTGTTTTGGATTTGCTCAACAAAAATATTTGCAGATACCGTTGAATAGAGAAGCAATGAATTATACAATATATAACAGCAGCTCTAAAGATAATCTTATCTTTACTAGTTCCTTTAATGAGCAAAACTTGTCATATGCCTACTTTGGACTCTTGTTAAACATATCAGCAATTTTGAATATGAATTTAACTACATTAAATGTGACATTGTTCAATATTTCTTATATATACTGTTCTGCAACTGTTTATGGTTTAGCTTACTATGACATATCTCAAGTTACAAATTCAAATTTGGATTATTTTATTACTAATGGAAGTTGTTTATCAAATTCAGAGCCTTCTCCAACAAATTCAACTTTGCAAAGATATTGTGATTCGGGTGGGAAATCAATATTTTTTGGTGAGTGCTTTTGCTCAGCAGGATATCAGTTGAAAAATGGAAATTGCATGGGTAAGTCACTATGAATATATATTTCAACACTTTTTTTTTAATTCATTTTATTTTAGTGTTTTTCTAAAAACATTTTATATTTTTTTACCTATTAGAGAGATTTATTAGAATCAGCTTATACACTTTCACCAAATAAAATTAACAACTGTTCCTATTAAAAAATTCTTTAAAATGTTATTAATTAATTTTTAGGATATAATTAGTTTTTAGGAAAAAAATAAAACAAAAATTTTACTTATCTCTTAGATTAATTTGCGTTGTTTAGCAAATAAATTAGCTGTTGCTTAGCAAATAAATATAGATACAATTAAAAAATAATGATTTTGAAAATAATATTCATCATATTAATCTGTCAAAAAAAAAAGTAATAACCGATAGACTATCAATTGTCAATAAAATAAAATCAAGATTTTGACACAAATGATATGAAGTTTTACAGATTATCAGAAATTTAAATTCCAATGATATTTTAGACAACTAATGAAAAGTCCTTCCTGAAATAAGAAATTGCCTAATAAGAAGTCTCATTTTACCTAGGCACAGTGTTATGTAAAGAAAAGTTTTAACTCAAGCTAAAACATTTTTCAAAACAATATTTTGGCTTCGCCAATGCAGATGTTGCATTTTTTAATGTTGAGATAGCTAACCTCCAGACATGGAGCAAACTCCAAACATTTATATGTTTATACTTATGTCAAATAAGGATGCTTCGCAAAAAACTGCGATATTGGAGCCTGGGATCAAAAAACCTAAAAGCTAACCGATAATTGCCCCAAACGTTAGATTAACAAGTTGATAAAATATTTTTTTTTACTATTATTAACAAAATTTATAATTATCAATAAATTTTAAGTTTCATACAATAATATCTTAGCATTCAAAAATTATGATCTTATTAAATATTAGATGCACATGTATTAGCTGAGAAATCAATAAACCTAAGGACTAAATTAAATTAGCACTAATTATACTAAAAATATTATTTTAATGCTATTGAGTTGCCCAAAGGGGCCTCATTTTCATTAAATAACTTTTATCAATTTAATAAATTAAATTACTAATTTAATAAAAAGTTAATAATTTACTAATTAAATTAGTAAATTGATATTACATTTTATCGGTGTGGTTAAAAAAAATTGCATAAAAAATAGCACTGGTTTCTATCAGCATTAAAATAACTAAGATAAAGTTGTTTTAAAATAAATTTCAAAGTTAAAAATTTATATATTGTAAAAATATTTTTTCAAAGTTAAAAACTAAGACATTAATTATAATAATTGTAAAGAAAATTGTTTTTATATTTTTCAAACAGAAAAAAGTTGTTTGAATTAATAACCGCAGTTTAATTTGCATACTTTTTCAGCAAAATTAAAGCAAAATTAATTTGAAAAAATTTTTTTGATTTGAAAAAATTTTTTAAATTTAAAAAAAAAAAAATTAGTTTAAATGCATTAAAATAGTTTAAATAGTATACGTTATAAAACCTAGATTAACTTGGGCAACTTAAAATTTTGGTAGGTTGGGCAACATTAGCTAAATGGTTACTTTTCAGTTGCCATTCATTGCATTTCTGATGTTTAGGATCTGTTGAAACTTTATGAACGGTATCTCGTTTATCTTAGTGTGGTGACAGAAGACACAAGTGAGATAACAAAGAAACTTTATTTTGTCTCCTTAACTGCCTGTTTCGTTAATCTAATTTTCACCATTGTTGAAGATTGCTTTTATTTTATCACATTTGCTCATCAAATTCTTCACAAAGAGGTACTAAATGTTTGGTGATTAAGTCAATCCATTGAGGTCATTATCCATGACAACGCAAAGTTCCAACACATTGTGTTGGCAACTGATGAACTTGGGTTTGTGGTAACCTTTCTCTTCAAACATTTAGAAAAACAATGCCTGTCTTCTTGCCAGTATTTACACTTGTTGTATTGGCAACATCATTCATTATTTCATCAATCATCAGCACAATTGATCCTAGAGGTTGAATTCCTCTAACGCCTTTTGGAATTGTTTGAGTTTCATGCCATCTTTCAATTTGAGAGCAATTAACTTGATTTAATTTGCTTCATTCTTAAGTACTACTGCCTGATATTTGAAGCTATCAATGTGTTTGCCATCAAAGTGTATGCTCCATTTTTCCAGGGTATGCTCCATTGCACCATTTTTCGCCAAATATTTACCTGAGCAGCTCTTATGTATATAGCTTTGTCTGTTGTTGACTGGCATGGGGTTGGGATTTCAATGCCCTCACCAGAAAATACACCTTTACTGCTCTGTGGATAGACAGCTTGAAGATTGTAACAAGGTGTTTTGCAATGCATGTTTGGTTATGCTTCCTTTTGCTTGTTGATGCTGCAATCTTATCACCCCAAGAAGTGTCTTTGCTGTTTTTAGATGAGTCAGAATTCATGTTACTTTCAGATCAATCAGGTGGCACTGACCTTGTAACTGTGGACACTAATTACCTTCTTTCGCTTGGATAGGTAGATGGTCTTTGCACTAACAGGTTTGCCAGTGGAATAACTAACTGGCCTTTGCTCTCAATTTGGAGTTTATACAGATTTCCATCATCTTTGCACAACCATTTGCTTTTAATCTTATTGATGTCAAACAGTATATTCAATGCATTAAAGTTTTATTTCTTTCTGCAGTGCTCATTGCCTTTCAAAAGTTTTGCTAATTTTGCACAAATGGTTTGATCATATACATTTGGAAAATTCAACGTTTCGCTCCATAGTACGTTAAGCTCAACAACAATTACACAGATTCTCTCTCTCCTTCATGATAGTGATACTTACGTTATTAATTTGCTTAAGCAGTTGTTAACTTTCTTTCTTATAGAAAAATAATTTTACATGCAAACTTTAACTTTCTTCAAAATTAACGGGGCAAGAGTACTAATAAGCTGCAAATGGTCTAAAAAAAAATCAATAGAAACTTATTAAAGAAAAAAAATAATAAGGTCCCTCTCCATTTTTTTTTTTTTTTTTTTTTTTTTGTTGTTTTTTTGTTTTGTTTTTTTATAAAAGTTATAAAGTATTGAACATAAATTGTTACCTCAAAACAACTTTCTGATCATCAATATATATTTTGATCTTCTTGTTCTAAAGAGGTTTGTTACTGGTAATAACTGATTGGTTTTTTCATGCATTAGATAAATGTAAAAAGGCTAAGGCTATTGCTCTCTACATTTCTAGTAGCTTTTAATAAAGTTTGGAATGTTGGTCTTTACAGTGTTGTCTTTACATTTTTAAGATTATTGAATCCTTATAATGAAAATTTTTATAAAAAATTGTGTCAGACAACTTAAAATAAAATGAATTAAAAGTTGGTGGGCGGTCAATCCAATAATTTTTTTTTGATAACCAATTTTCATGCGGAGTGACATAAAGTTCATATTTATATAAAAAAAAAATTTAATTTTTCTTGATAGAGGTATTCACGCTGATTGTTTAAAGTTACACTTTTTATGACTTTTGACTAAATTTAGAGCAATTTCCAAGCATGGGCGCAAATAGATTCTGATGTCAAATCCAGTTAATTTGTTCAACAATATTTTCTAGAATGTTCCTGTGGTTATTTTAGAGCTTCAAGAAGAATCACAGAGCACTGCAGAATCACAGAGCACTGCAGAATCACAGAGCACTGCAGAATCACAGAGCACTGCAGAAGAGTCTTTAACTTGGAAGTTTATGCTTGCTTTATGTCAAAAAAACCAAGAATAGGCATCGAACCACAGATCAGTGAAGGATCCAACATTTTTTGGTGTTGGAGATAACTAGTAGACATGGCACAAACTCCAAACATTTGTCTGTTTATACTTATGTCAAATAATGAGGCTTTGCAAAATATTCCAATGATTGAAGACTGGGAACAAAAAAGCCCTCAAATTTAATCCTCCCTGCCCCAAATGTGAGAGCAACAAGTTTGTAAAATAATTTTTTTTGCTGTTCTTAATTAAGTTTGTATTCATCCATAAATTTTAAGTTTTATAATATTATCTCTCAGCATTCATAAATTATGACCATATAAAGTTGAAACACCCCTCAATTTAAGGGGGTTGCAAATTTTGTCATAATTGTTTAGCGCTTAGAAATTGTAAAACAATATTTAAAATTTATTGATGTATATAAATTTAGTTAATAATAGCAAAAAAATTATTTCATCAACTTTCTGCTCTCACATTCGAGGCAGGGGCAATAACATTTTAGGGTTTTTTGTTCCCAGCCTCCAATCATTGCAACTTACGAAAAGCATAATTATTTGACATAAGAATAAATATACGAATGTTTTGATTTTGCAAAAATCTAAACATTCTTATGTTTATTCTTATGTCAAATAATTATTGTCTTAAACAATCTCAAACACCAAAAAATGCTAGATCCGTTACTGCCACAGATCTCTTGTTTCTGAAACAAACTTGCTTCAGAATTCAGTGTTTAAACGCTGTAAATGTACAATAAATATTTATATACTTATGAATTTTCAGCTAAAGACAAATATCTCAAAAAAAATATGTAAAAAAATAGTTTTTAAATGCACTTTTAAGAGTTTGCAGTTAGGTATCGATTCAAATTATTAGACCCATTCAATAACGAGAAAGCGAGAAAGCAGTTTCTTTGCTAGCTCCTTGAATCCACTTTTCTTAATTTTTAATAGTTCTTTACAAGAAATCTTTGTTTGAAGTAGCTTCTGAAGCTTCTCGCTTTACATTATCTTGAAAAATTTTCCTGTAAGCACAGCAAAATTGAATTTTTTATTACGAAATAATTTTCTTAAAACAAGAAATACGTTTCTTGTTATAAGAAATAAATATCCTAACCTGCAATTTATTTTTAAAAACAAGAAATATATATTTTGTTTTTAAAAATAAATTTCTTAAAATACAATAATTGACTATTTTCAAACGCAATGAGCTCTATAAGTTTGCCTATCTATTTTAATAGAAACTTTGCTTTTGCAGATTTTTTGTTTCCTATAATATTTGAAACAGTGACAGGCCTTGTTAAGAAGTGTTTCCCTATTTGAATTTTATGCACATATTCACGATTTTACAAACGCGCTTCGCAATTTATGTTATGCAAAAACTTTTTTCAATAAGTTTATTTTAAACAGTCTTTTAAAGCAGATTATGGAAAAAAACAGTAAAATGTAATTAATTGTTGTAAAAAACATTTGTGGAATATTTTTTTTAATTAGATAAAAAATACAGATAGATATCCTTTTTCTACTTTCCATTTTTAAAAAAAATATGTTTTATTAAATTTAAATTAATTTTATTATTATTCATAGTTTTAGTAATTTATTAGAATAAATTTAATTAAAATTCTTTTAAAAATTTCAAAGCGCCTAATTTTACAATTTTTTTTACTGATAAAATTTCCAAAATTTATGTTAAATTAAAAAAAAATTTAATAGATTTAATTCAAGTTACATTAAAATGTTTGCATCACATTTTAATTTCATTTAAGTTTCAAATAGTTCCTGTTCCAAATACTGGTCTGAATAATGTGCTTTTATAAATTTATAAATGACGTCAATACAAAAAAGTTTTTTCAAACACGAGTTTAAATGTTATGTTAGGGTTTTCCCTTTGCCATTAAATTTTATGTAAAAGATTTTTTTTATAAAACAAATCAAACTTTACCGATTAAAAGTAACGTGATCAATAAATAAACTCTTTAAAAGCCTAACTTATATTTATTTTATTAAAAAAAAAATTAATACTTGTGCTATAAATATAAGATAGGTAAGTTTCAAAGTTATACTGATATTTGTTAAAAACAAATAATTCTGGTAATAACATCTTAAAACGAAAATACTATTTTTCATTTTGGATTTAGTGAGAAATAGTAAAAATACATTAGGTTTCATGGTACATAAAAAATAAGATATTTTTATTTCATCGAAAGCCAGTTAGCGCAAAGGTTTTTTTCAAAAAGAGAAAACCCAATCTATTTGTGTACACTTAAATCCCTTTAAGAAAATCAACCATAAACAAGTGTCCCCTCATTTAAAAAAAAATAACCTTAAAAATAACTTTTTAAAGAAAGAAAATAAAGTTTAAATAAGTATAAGATTTTAAAATAATATTAAATTTAATTTATAACTATTTTATAACAATATTGTTTAATTTAAAAGATATAATTTTAAATATTAATTTTTTAAACATTTAAAAGACTTACAATAATTTCTTATGTGTTTTTGAATTTAATTGCAATGAGGTATTTTAAAATACATAACTGGGGCAATTAAACTTTTAACCATGTAAATATCTTTAATTTTAATCTTATTTAATAAAGTTACATATATTCGCGTTGCGCTTTTCCATTACGCAACAAAATCTCATAGCAAGGCCTGCAGTGACCTCTAATATGATTTTGAAAAGTTTTTATGTTATGTTCAGTTTTAATAATGTTGTTCATTATTTTAAATAGTTGAATCATATCACCTCTTTCTCTTCGTTTAGTTAGAGTTGTCAATTTCAAAGCTTTTAATCAATCTTGGTAACTGAAACACCTAATTGATTTATTCAGTTTGTTGGCTCAACGCTGAACTTATTCAATTACTTTACAGTCACTTTTTTGATATAGGGACCATAACGGTACTAAGAACTCTAGAACTCTAGAAAAGAACGAATAAAGATTACAAATAGTGATTTAAGTAAATGACAGTCCAATCTTGCAAATGATTTTTCAATTTGACCTAACATTCTATTTGCTTCTTACTTCTGTCCATTTAAAAGATATATTCAAATCCCTCTGTAGACTTGAGACTGTTGGCTCTTCTGTTATTTAGAAAAGTTTCCATCCATTTTAGAAATAAGCCATTAATTCCATATCCATTCAATTTAGCAAAGAGTCTCTTGTGAGGATCACTATCAAAAGCTTGAGCAAAGTCTAGTTTTACTACATCAACAGGTATACCATTGCTGTTGCATTATGTAATATTTATATTCACATTTATAGTGCTAAAGTTTTGTTCTATTAAAGACAAAACAATTGTTGTAATATAAAGCAACTTATATTATAAAATCAACAAGTTGTTAACCATTTTTATAATTAAAATATAATCAAAATAGACAAAAATCTAAAAAAAAAAAAAAGTCAGTTATGCAAAAAAAAAAAACGATTGCATTTTGTAAGCAAAAAAAGTCAAACTGAAACTGGAAACTGTTCATTTTTTTTTATATCAAAAAATTAAGAGCCTTAAATTGCTCATGTAAACTACTTTAGGGAAGTGTGAGCAAAAGCTTTAGCTCTTTCCTGCTGAGGCCTGTATATATACATATACATATATGTATATATACAGTATTCATATGCAATAAAACCTAAAATTATTATTTTTTTTTTAAAATAATAATTATTTTTGGAATTTTTATATAATTTGGCTTCATTTGAGTACCAGGTTGACTTACTTTTAAAAAACGTAATAAAATAACACTAGGCTAAAATTTTTTTGAATAAAAAATATTTTAAGGGGTCCCCCAAGACCCTTGAATTTTTAACAGGTCCCTAATATTAAAAAAAAAAGTTTTTAAAAAGTAGGTCAACCTGGTACTCAAATGAAGCGAAATCATATAAAAATTTTAAAAATAATAATTATTTTGAGCAAAAATATTATTTTTTTAACTAATTTATCAAAATTATCATATAAAAACTTTAAAAAAGGTTGACCTACTTTTAAAAAACTTTTTTGTTATATATATATATATATATATATATATATATATATATATATATATATATATATATAATATATATATATATAAAAATGTTATTTCCGAAAGACGATGTCTTACTGCTAGTAATAAAAATAAGAAAATTTAAATGGTTTATTTTAGAAGAGAATATATCTTCAGTTCCTATTGCTACAATTGTTGGAAGTTTGTCTGGAATTTTATTTTTTGTTCTTGCGGTTGGTTATTGTTTGCATCAAGAAAAAAGAAGAAAAATTGAGATTGTAGTTGAGCAAAAGATAGTTGATGAACAGGCTTTGAAAGAAAAACACATAAAGGAGATGTTAGAGAATACAAAAAATGCATATTTGCCTATTGATGCAGCAATAATACAGTCATGGACTACTTTTGGAGAAGAGGAGCCTCTATATCTAGAAATACCAAATAGTATGTACATTTTGTTTAGCATATCAAAATAAAATCTTTATCAGCAAAATAAATAATTTTAACTTGTTGGTAAGTCTTTCTACATTTATATATATTTTAGTATGTGAGAAGGATGTTTCTACATATTAAATCTGCTGCAGCTATTTTTTTTTGTTGTTCCTTCTTTTTGATTTTTTTTCCCAAAGCACCTGTATTCAGAAATAAGCATTTATAAGCAAACATTCTTACCTTGAAGACAGGGTTTGCACTGAACCTGGAAAACTAGTTTATTTTGGCAGTTTAGTTACAGAAAACCATGAATAGTCAGGATGTTTTTATTTAGATAGATTAGATAGTCAAGGAATTCTATTTAAGAAATGACTGGTTGTTAAGATAAGTAGTTGTTTGCTACCTAATTATCATGCTAAAACAACATATGAAGCAAGTTAAACTTTGCATCATAATTTAGTGTTTGTTGATGTTTACAATAAAAATTTATTCAAAACAATTTTTTTTGTTCCTAAAATATTCTGTTTAAACAGCAGCTGTTTAAAACTCAACAATTTCAGTTGTTAATGCGCACACATTGCTTGCAGGTACATCTTGCAGCAGCATTGTGCCAAACGTGGGTGTTTTGCTTGCATTAAATTGATTTTTTTAAACACTAATATACAGAAAAAACAAGCTAGGTTGTTACACTAACCTGTACTAGTACAAGATAAGCGCTCAAGTAAAAACTTTGAGAAAATGTCTTTTAGCGAGGATCCTAATGAGCTTTGGATAGTCTGAAAAGTACTTTAATAATAATTTAATAGAAACTTTATTAGTGATTCAACAGTAAAACAAAAAATATTTTCAACAGCGACCGTATTCGGGCGCCACCCAAATTAAAATTTGAGGACCTTTTAAATTTTTTTTACGTTTTTATAGCAAATATTGTTTTCTTTTGCGAAAAAAAAGGGGGTACCGCTGCCCAAATTTTTTTTCTAGAATAGGCCCTGATATATATATATATATATATATATATATATATATATATATATATATATATATATATATATATATATATATATATATATATATATACATATATATATATATATATATATATATATATATATATATATATATATATATATATATATATATATATATACATATATATATATATATATATATATATAAAATATATATATATATATATATATATATATATATATATATATATATATATACATATATATATGTATATATATATATATATATATATATATATATATATATATATATATATATATATATATATATATATATATATATATATATATATATATATACATATATATATGTATATATATATATATATATATATATATATATATATATATATATATATATATATATATATATATATATATATATTAGGGTGGCCCTTAAAACAACTTTTTTGAGACATTTAGAGGGTAGGAGCAGTCCTACCCTCTAAATGTGTTCTATCTAATGCAAAAACACTAGGTTTAAAACTTTTTTGAATAAAAAATATTTTAAGGGGACCCTCAAGACCCTCAAATATTTAATGGGTCCCTACTAGTTTCAAAAAAAGTTTTACAAAAATATGTCAATCTGGTACTCAAATGAAACATATAAAAATTTCAAAAATAAAAAATTCTTAAGAAAAAAAAAATTGTTATTTTTGGTTATATTATTTAAAAAATTACATTTTTTAACAAAAAATTAAAAAAATGCATTTTTTATGTTTTTTTATGATAATTTTGATAAATTAGTTAAAAAAATTTTTAAATGAATATAATTTTTGAAATTTTTATATAATTTCGCTTCATTTGAGTACCAGTTTGACATATTTTTGAAAAACTTTTTTTTGAAAATATTAGGGACCCATAAAAAAAATTTTAAACCTAGTGTTTTTGTATTAGAACACATTTAGGGGGTGGCAGCATTTTTTTCACAAAAAAGTTGTTTTAAGGGCCACCCTAATATATATATATATATATATATATATATATATATATATATTATATATAAATATATATATATACATATATATATATATATACATATATATATATATATATATATATATATATATATATATATATATATATATATATATACACATATATATATATACACATATATATATATATATATATATATATATATATATATATATATATATATATATATATATATATATATATATATACACACACATATATATATATATATTATATATATATATATATATATATATATATATATATATATATATATATATATATATATATATATATATATATATATATATATATATATATATACATTTTTTAACTTTATTCCAAACAGCTTCTTTTTTTTAAAAAAAAAATGAAAAAAAAAACAAAGAATTATAATAAAGAAGATTGCTGCCCCAGCCCGAATCCTTAGCTGTTGAAGCAGTGCTTTTTGCTTGATTTATTTACTCAGTCAATGTATATGCAAAAGCCCAGGATAACAGGCTATTTTAGTATGGTGTCAGAGGTTATCTAAATATAAAATATAAGTTTATGTGTGTGTTTGTGTGCATATACATTTTATATTATTTAGTTTTGGTTTATTTTTTTAGGTTACAATTATCATTATTCAGATTTAATTATTAAAGAGAAAATCGGTGAAGGTCATTTTGCTATAATACATAAAGCAATAGCTGTTAATATTTGTGGACACAAAGGGAACTCAACCGTTGCTGTTAAAGAATTAAAAAGCAAGTTATTTTTCTTTCATTTTTGCTCAAATTTTGTTAAAGTTTTGTATTATTGTTATTTAATATTTTCAACATAGATAATTGTAGTACTGCAGAAAAAGAAGATTTTGAAAATGAATTAGAAATTATGCAAGAGTTAAGCTCTCATCCATATATTGTCAAATTGTTGGGAATATGTACAGGTAGGTAGTTGGTCCCTGTAGGTAGACTGTTCTTAGATTGTAGATTGTAGGTTACAATTTTGATAAAAATATGATTATATGTTAACTATGTTGTAGGCCTAAAATATATATATATATATATATATATATATATATATATATATATATATATATATATATATATATATATATATATATATATATATATATATATATATATATATATATATATATAAAAGGTTAGATGAGAAAAAATAACTTTTTTACGGTACTTAAAGTTTCATGCCATTTTCGGCACTCATCAGCCTGGCTGATGAGTGCCGTAAACTTTAAGTACCGTAAAAAAGTTATTTTTTCTCATCTAACCTTTTATTTATTTATTTATTGATCTATTTTGTGATTATTTCACTTTATATTGATCACTCTCAAATCGAAAAAGAGTTGATTATTATCAAATAATCAAAACAACAATATATATATATATATATATATATATATATATATATATATATATATATATATATATATATATATATATATATATATATATATATATATATATATATATATATATATATATATATATATATATATATATATATATATATATATATATATATATATATATATATATATATATATATATATATATATATATATATATATATATATATATTATACTTTGAATCAAAAATATTTATTAAATGCTTTTCAATTTCTTTGTTTTTTGTTTAAAAAGTTTTACTTCTTTTTCTTTTTCTGTTTTTTTATTAATGTTATTATTATTGCTAAGATTATTATAATTATTGTTACTATTATTATTATTACTAGCTGTTCTGACCCATAAAATTTGAGTTTTGGTAAAATTTCAGACCGACAATTTCTATTATTCACTTATTTTTAGAGCAAAAAAAATTATGGTTCTAATAAGCCCTAAGTATGCACATTTTGTCTGCATACCTATGGCTTATTATACCCCTTATCTTTTTTATTTATTTTAAAAGAAATGGTCTGAATTAAGACCTTCCTACTTTGAAAAAGAAAGTTATCTCTTTACTGTGTTACATGTGTAGGTTTACTTAATTGATTGTGTAACACATAAAAAAAGTACTTCTAACATGGCAGTTATGAGACATTATTCACAGTGTTTTTTAAATTTAAAGCTATAATATATAAAGCTATAATATAATATTTAAAGCTGTAATATAATTTAAAGCTATATATATATATATATATATATATATATATATATATATATATATATATTTATATATATATATTTAAATATATATATATAAATATTGTAAGTAATTTATTGAAAATAATTTTAGACCTAAAAATAAATCTTTAGAGTTTTTGAAATTTTATGTAAAATTAGATAATTCCTCCACAGCCATTCTTACTCTCTTTCAAGTTATTTAAATCAGCTTCAGTATTGTAGCTGATCCGCTTAAAGCTAAAGCTATTAAATATCAACTGCGATCTCTATGTATTTATATATTTTTATAAATTATTGTTATTAAATATCACTTATAATCCGGTTTAATATTTTTAAGTGTTATTTATTCACTGTTTAAGCTCCGCATTGCATCATTCTTGAATATGTTCCTGGTGGAGATTTGCAAAGTTGTTTGCTGAAATCAAGGAAGTACCGAAACGCAACAGAAATGATTGAAGGTTCTTATCTTACCTCATACTACTTGCTTTTGTTTGCATATCAGATTGCTTCAGGAATGATATACCTATCTGAAAAAAAGGTTTAATCAACTTTTTTTAATTTAAAATGTTTGGTTGTTTATTAAACACAAAATTCTTGATTTCAGTAGCAATTACAATACTAGTTACAAGTTTACTAGTAAATCAAGTCAAAATTTATAATTTTGTTAGCGGCAGTTATATTGATTAGTTACCAAAAATATCTTAACTTTATAAATTTATTTTTTAGTTTGCTCCATTATAATCCTTAGAGTACATTAGATAAAATAGATATATATATGTTTAACACTTAGATTTCCCTTAATAGTCTCTGCAAGACCTTACAGTTTCTTTGCTATAGATTTGTTAAAGTCAAACATCTTATCTTGGAAATGTTTTTTAAAGACTAAAAGATTAGTATCTACATAGCAAGGTTACACTAAATTAATGGACCGGAAAAAAATTTTGTTAAATAATTTTCAAAAAAAATTTCATTTGAAATTTTTCCATAACAACACTTTGTTTATTCCATGGTTATGGTTATATATATATATATATTTACATGGTTATATAATATATATATATATATATATATATATATATATATATATATATATATATATATATATATATATATATATATATATATATATATATATATATATATATATATATATATATATATATATATATATAACACACTTACTAAAGCGTGTTTTGATAAGCATTTGCTCACTTTTTCTGCTTACCTTAAGCCATACTGTTTTTTCAAAAAAGAAGAAAAAACGAAGAATGATGAAAACAATTGCTTCCCCATCCCAAACCCTCAGTCGATGTAGCAGCACTCCACTGTGAGTCAGGCTATTTGTCAGTACTGAAGCCCCCAGCAGCAGGCTATTTCAGTATGATGTCAGATTGCTTACCTTTGTACGCAATACTATTAGTATATATATATATATATATATATATATATATATATATATATATATATATATATATATATATATATATATATATATATATATATATATATATATATATATATATATATATATATATATATATATATATATACATATATACAGTAGCATGCAAAAGTTTAGAAACACCAACTTTTTTTATAGTTTTTACTGCATAACTTTTCACAAATCACAATAGTTGTAAAATTGAACATTTAATTAACTTTTAATTGTTTTTTTGAAAAAGCTTCTATGCAAAAGTTTAGATACAGATAAGTTTAGGTACCCCACAATTATATCATATTTTTGTAAACAAAAGCAAAATTTAAGGCCAAAATATTTGCGAAATTTAATGATTTAATTACTTTGAGATATTTAGCATTGATAAAACTAGACGTCAATTATGACAAAATAATCTTATGGTCATCCAGTTAAGGAACCACTAATATCTGCAAGAAATTTAAAAACCAGAATAAAATTTGCAAAATATCATATTAGTTGGTCAGTTAATGACTGGTCAAAAGTCCTTTTTTCTGCTGAATCAAATTTCATTCTATTCAATAGTGACGGAATTAGGAATGTTAGGCGTCCAGTAGGAGACAGATTTAATCCAAAATATCAGTTACCCACTGTTAAACATAGAGGAGGAAATGCTCGTGTGTGACCATGGTTTGGGAATGTTTTAGTCATGACAATGTGAGTCCCATTATCATATTGAAAGTATTATGGACCAGAGAGTTTATTTAGACATCATAAAGAATGTAATATTTTCACATGCAAAGCATAAAATGACTTGCAAACTTACAACAAGATAATGATTCAAAGTATTGTGCCAGATCTGTTAAGGAATATTTTAATTCACAAAAAATCAAAGTTCTTGATAGGCCTTGGTAGAGCCCAGATCTCAATCCTATTGAGCATCTTTTGGAGTACATTGACCGGCAGTTAGTTGGTAGAAAAAGAACCAACAAATGCCATTTATTTTCATTGGTTATAAAATGTTAATATAATTTTTCTCAGGACATTCTCATTAAATTAGTAGATTTAATGCCTCGTCACTGTGATGCTGTTTTAAAGGCAAATAAATATGCCACCAAATACCAACTGTTTTATTAGAACAATTTTATTGTTAAAAAATTGTTTTTTTGTGAATTTTAGAAAAAAGTTTCAGCTTTTTTGAAGTTAATATTAATCAAATTTAGTTGTTTCTAAACTTTTGCATAGAAGTGCAAATAGTAATTAACATTAAATGTTAAATTAATGGAATTAGTATTAATGTATAATTAATGGATGTTAGTTAACTGTTTAATTTTACCACTTTTGTGATTTTTATTTTAAATTGAAATAATATAAAGCACATTTGGTAAAAATTTCAGATTATTCAAGAAAGTTTGTGAAAAGTTATGCAGTAAAAACTGAAAAAAAGTTATTGTTTTTAATTTTTGAACGTTACTATATATATAAATATATATTTATATTTATATATATATCTTATGCTGCTGGTTTAGGTGAGCAGTCTGACGTCATACTGAAATAGCCTGCTGCAGGGGGCTTCAATACATACATCAACTGAAAAATAGCTTGGCTCACAGCAAAGTGCTGCTACATTGACTGAGAATTCGGCATGGGGCAGCAACCTTTTCCTTCATTCTTCTTCTTTTTTTTTTTTTTGAAAATTCATATTTAATTAATGTAACAAAAATATGGTAACAAATTGTAACATATATATGCTATAACAGATATATATATATATATATATATATATATATATATATATATATATATATATATTATTATTATTATTATTATTATTATTATTATTATTATTATTTATTGTACCGCAACAAGCTATAGCTTGTGTAACCAATTCTGGTTGTAGCAGCCTACATAAAAATTTACAAATTATTTTGAATTAAGTTAATTAAATGGGAATAAAGTCAATTTCATCGCTAATCATCTTCAAGGTTTTCTGATTCAAAAAATTTATCCAATTTTGCTTTGAAACTATTTACAGTTGTGGCACTGATTATGCTTTTAGGCAATTTATTCCAAGTGTTCACCACACGATTTGTAAAAAACTGATGACGCTGTTCATTGTTTTTTACTAACTCTCTAATTAGCTTAAAGTTATGACCTCGCGTTCAACATTGATTAAAATTTCTTGGATAAGAGAGCAAATTTACGTTACACCAATTTACAATATTTGGAATGTTTCGTTTTTCAAAATGTAAAAACATGTGTTTATTTTCTCGACGTTTGACATGTTTTGTCTATACTAAACAAATAAAAAACATAACTAAACATTTAAAAAAGATTATAAAATATGCTAATATTTGATTTTTTTTTTCTCAAATATGTAATTTAAAGTTTTTTAAATAATTAATTTTTCTTTTTAAAAAGTCAGCGAGTAATAAACTGGAAGTTTTAATATTGTACGATTAAAAACTGTGCAATAGCTAATATTTTTACCAGCGATTTTATATAATATTTTTTTATTTATTTATATTTATTTTCATAAAGCGGTTGATCAGCACAATCACTCGTATTATTAAAAAACTTAAACGTTTTGAATAGATTTTTAATGTTTACAAGGAATTTTATTTCTAGTAAAATAAAATATGTTAGAATAAAAATCTTATAGGTATAAAAGACATAAATTTCAGCAAAAAAATTTGCATATTGAACAATATTTAATAAAAGGTGCGCTAAAATAAAAAAATGAAAACATTACGTGGTTAAATAAGAGAATTAATTTTTATTTTATTTTTTACGTTTATTAAGCCTTTTTCAGGGTTTTTGTGAAATTCAATTTACATCGGTAGAAACCAGGTAACAAAACCAGGTTATATAAACTTATCAAACTATTGACGTTCTATTTTTCAGCAGCTGTTCTTGGGAACACTTTGTTAAGTTTCGGTAACTTTTAACAAAAAAGCGATTGTTATTATTTAAGTAATTTTTTTTAAGTTAATTTTTACAAAAATTTTAATAAATGTACTTTTTTATTGAATTAAGTAGAAAATGTTTTAATATTAATCTTTTTATTTCTTTTAATTTGTGCTTACCAATTTTTAAAATGTTTCCTCGAAATTACTCTTAAATACTTTAAATACGTCTAACAGTTAATAAATATTTTTAAATCTATGGAATAATTTTAAAACCTAACAAACCCCTGTAAAATAATTATTTAAGTTAAAAATCTAAAACTAAAAGGAAGTATTTTTGTTCAATTTTATCGACATCTTTACTATTGCTAAATAATTTTATTAAAATGTTAGCTTAAAAAGATTTAAACTTTTTTTTTAATCTGAATTTTTTCTACTTGTAAATAATGAGCATTTTTAATTTTTTTGTAATTCAAACTTTTATATCAGCTACGTGCGGTTTTTAAAATACTTTATTAAATGTTAAAATAATCATAAATTACTTCATTAAAATTCCGCTCAAAAATATTATTAAATATACTCAAACAAAAAATTTTTTGCTTGACGCAAATAGCCCTAGCTACACGCAAAATCGCTCTTGGACGACGTAAAACTCACATCCCCCAACACTTTATTGCAAGGCCTGATATATATATATATGTATATATATATATATATATATATATATATATATATATATATATATATATATATATTATAATATAGATTTTTTTCAGCTGTGGATAAATATTCTCTATGGATTTATTTTATACGGGTGTAAAAACAGAAATGCAGACCAGGTGTTAGTACAAATGGTAGTCACACCTTTCAACCCAACATGACAACCTCATTAAAAAAGATAAACCAAATAAACCAGGTAAAAATTATAATTATAACAATAAACACATCTACGAATTTGAATAGTTTATCAATAATATCAAAAATACTTAAAATCTGTCAATGATTTATTTGGTATATGATATATTACAACTGCTGTTGTCTAATTAACTGCCAAAAATGGTTTATCATATGCTTAGTTTTGATTTAAGAAAATTATTAAATGCTAAATTTCAAAATGGAAAAATATTAAAAACTTGAACTAATCAAGATAAAGGGTTCAAGTATCATGTTATGATTAGATACCCATAAAAAAATTGTCACTATTTGCAAGAGTACATT